CGAGATCTTGTTAAAGTCTATGCCATAGCTAACAATTACCTTCACGACGGCTTGAGATACGGTAGAAAAATTGACAGATGTGAGGTGGATTGGCCCAGTTTGAAACACAGGCAGATCCTGGGCTGTCCAGCTCCCTGGTACAAATAAAATGTGCAGCATGTAGTTATCTTGAGGATCAGTGGCTTCATCAACTACAATGGAGGAGTCATACTCTGCAAAGGTAGCCTTTGCAGACTGTACTTATGAAGCAATCACTACAGGGAAATAGTCGTGGCAAAGCTTGTTGGCATGTGGAAAACTGCCAGCATTTGGCACATTTTGATTCAGGGGTAGTCCCTTAACTTCAGGTGATCAAGTTTCTCCAGCAGGATGTTTGCCGCCACAGGAAAAGGCCACCTCTCACCTTGCCAAGTTGCTTCCTGTGGTCCTTTTAAAAAGAGGGAGAACGTGGTCACTTGCTTCTTGCTCTGACCTTCAGCATCTGCAACAGCCTTCTGCTCCATGTGCATCTCAGACTCTAAGTGTCTACCTATGCTGGTTTTTCTTGACACACCCAAAGTTACATTGCCGGCTGTACAGAGTCTGTCTCCATCTGCATGCAAGGTCCCTGCAGGATAATGTCTTACATGGTCCAGTGTTGAAACATATTTGGCAGTCTTAAAGGATTTCTTAGCGTTCATCCCTGCTCCTCTTCAAGTGGCAGCATGCATGCTGCATGTGGGTACTTTAAAAGCCGGTGCCAAAACCCTCCCAATTCCCTGGCTGGCTCCAGACTGTGCCTATGTCAGGGACTCAGCCTCTGATTTGCTCCCTCATCTCCCTTCTCCTCTCATGTTTCAGGACTCCAGGGCTTCCTGCCCTTTTATCATCTTGCAGCTCCACCCCACCCCACCAAAAACATGCAGCCCGTGCTTTTTGGCAAAGCCCACCCAAAGTTGTGGTTTCTGCAAAAATCACATAATCATGATTGTGGTAGGTCCCTACCAATTATTAGTAATATTAGGATAAACAGTAGCTTGCCTTGGTGAATTCTAAATACATCCCTGGGTAATTAATAACAGACAAATTAAAAAGCGGGGATCCTGCTTTACATTTTCTGTCAATGCAAAGCATATATACCTGGACGCAGGTGTCGCGGTGAATGTAGTCTTTCTGGACTTCAGCAAGGCCTTTGACACTGCCGACCACCCAAGACTCATTAAAAAAACTGGGTGACTGTGGCATTGATGCCTACACAGTCAGATGGATTGCAAATTGGCTGAAGGGTCATACTCAGAGGGTAGTGGTGGATGGGTCATTTTCGACCCGGGGGGAAGTGGGCAGCCGAGTCCCCCAAGGCTCGGTCCTTGGGCCCGCACTGTTCAATTTCTTTATTAGTGACTTGGACGACGGGGTCAAAAGCAGCCTGGTTCAAATTCGCTGATAACACCAAGATTTGGGGTGAGGTGGGTGTGGCAGAAGGCCACCTCTGTTTCTCCCCAAAAACTACTCTGTGACAATTTGATTAGGATGGGCCCAGCAGAGGATACACACCTTACCCTATCTCTTTAGGTCACCTGAGCTGGATACATTCCTGAGGGAGGGGGGAAACCTGCTCCCTCTGCCTATGTGACTGGTATCACATACCTGGGTGAGGGACTTGCTCCCTGGAGAGCTAGGAACTGCCAGTCTGCCCAGCAACAAGTGATGCATTTCAAATTGGTTGGCTGACAGCCAACAGGTGCTGGCCTCCATTGGACCAGGTAAATGAGGTCACAAGAACTATATAAGTTAAGGACTGCCCAGGAGGACAGGGCAGCAGCCATGAGGAAGACTCAGAGAGAGAGAGAGAGAAGAGCTGCACCATCTGAAACTTGGCGCAGTAACTCAGATGCGTGATCAAAGGCTACCCAGCCATGGGAGTTTGCTCTGTGGGATTTCTCTGATATTGCTCTACCCTGTACCCTATTCCAACCCTACCCCATGTAACCAAAAAGTTCTCCTTTGTACCTGGTGTGGGAGACTTATTGGGAGTGGGTCTAAATTATGCCTTGGGGTCCCCTTGGTTTGGCTGACTAAGGGAGACCACTACTTGTGCTTCTGACTAAGGGAAGCATCCCAAGTTCTTGAAGTGAATCAAGTACCCTCGAGGGCTACTAGGCCTGTGTTTCCCAGGGTGCACAGAGCCAGAATCCAACCCAGCTCTGGGTGGTGGCAGTGGAACCCCCAGACTAGTGGGTGTGCTCCAGGAGGGGGGGTCAGCCAGACGTGAGGCATCCCCAGGGAGGCACTCGGAGCCTGGAAGGTGGTCGGGTGCAGTGAGGTGAGTGGCTCAATGCAGGAGCGCCCCCTGCTGGCCCGCCACAGTGGGCATGCTAGTAGGGGAGGACAGATTACAGCAGGACCTGGACAGGCTACAGGGGTGGGCTAACAAAAATAGGATGGGTTTCAATACTGACAAGTGCAGGGTGCTGCACTTGGACAGCAGGAACCAGCAGCACACTTATAAGCTGGGAAACTCCTTCCTTGAGAGCACGGTGGCAGAAAGAGATCTTGGAGTCATTACTGACTCCAAATGAACGTGGGTCAACAATGCGAGGTCACCATTGGCAGGGCTAACCGGACCTTGTCGTGCATCCACAGGTGTATCTCAAGCAGGGCCAAGGAGGTGATCCTCCCCCTCTATGCGACACTGGTCAGGCCACAGCTGGAGTACTGCATCCAGTTCTGGGCGCTGCACTTCAGGAGGGATGTGGACAGCATGGAGAGGGTCCAGAGGAGGGCCACCCGCATGATCCGGGGACAGCAAGGCAGGCCCTTCGAAGAGAAGCTACGGGACCTGAACCTGTTCAGCCTTCGCAAGAGAAGGCTGAGAGGGGACCTGGTGGCCGTCTATAAACTCACTAGGGGGGACCAGCAGGGTTTGGAAGAGACTTTGTTCCCCCGAGCACCCCCTGAGGTAACAAGGAATAACAGCCACAAGTTGTTAGAGAGTAGGTTTAGACTAGACATCCGAAGGCGCTACTTCACAGTCAGGGTGGCTAGGATCTGGAACCAGCTTCCAAGGGAAGTGGTGCTGGCTCCTACCCTGGGGGTCTTTAAGAGGAGGCTTGACGTCTACCTGGCTGGGGTCATTTGATCCCAGTTCTCTCTCCTGCCTAGGGCAGGAGGTCAGACCTGATGATCTACAAGGTCCCTTCCGACCCTACTTCTATGAATCTATGAATTACCTGATATAGTTATTTGATCTTTATCATGTTTACTTACTTTCAGTTTGAGCAAATTTTAAAATGGTGTTTTGCTTGTTGAAAAATCAGACATTAAATTAGAATTCTAACACTTAACATTGTGATTATACTGAAAAATAAGTTAAAACTAGTAAATTTGTATATAATTGAAGAAAAACATGCAAATTGTGAATTTATGTGTTTTATTTCATTTGATTTTTCATAGAAAAATAGTAAGAAATGAAAAAAGAACCCTAAATTCCCAACTTACCAAAAGCACAATGTAGAATCTAAAAAAGAAAAAGAAAAAAAATTCAAGTCAGAAATATTTCAAAATTTTATCTCCTTAAACCACATTTATTTACTTTTATCAAAATAGTGTCCAAACTGGAAAACAATACAGTAGTTTTTTCAAAGTTTGCACTAGCTGTTGTAGTATTAAAGTGTTAGCGTCTTGTTTTCCAGACAAATATTTCAAGATTTCAACTCTGACGCTCTCTCTCTCTTTGTAAATTTAAGCAAGTTCCTGTATTACTCTAACCCCAATACAATCAATTAAAGGAGGGTATCTACTCCACCTGGTGGAATAAATTTATTCCATTACAAATAAAAAGTATATTAACAATGAACAGTTAAACTATTATTCAAAATGAGATGATGTTCAACAGACACTTCTCACTTCATTTCATCAAACAATAATTCAATCATCAGTGACATTAAAAAAAAAAAAAAAAAAAAGCACTATACCTACCTCAAGCAGAGCTCCAGTTTGGAAGAATTTCAAGGGCTTTTCTATCGAATAGTACAGATTATGATAGCTACCTTTAGCCAGATATGCTCGAACTAAGCCAACGGCTATAACAAGCCACCTGGAAAAAGAGAAGAGGAGACTGAAGACAAGTGGATATTAACCTGAACATGCGCACTGAGAATGAAGGCAGGCAAAGTCACCCGCTGACTGATAGAAATAGCCAAAGCAACTCATAAGGACGGGAGCAAGAGTCATATAATAGTGCACAATGGCCCACAGCCACAAACTAGGCAACACACAAATATCTGCCATCCTTCAAGTGTTACACACTTTTTGAACTTCATATTTCTACACACACACACACACACACACCCTTAACATAAGGGCAAGGCCAAAAGTTTTTCCTTAATATTCTATTAAACCATAAATTACTTATCAGAAATCACGCACGTTGTTATAATTAAGGTTGATGACAAATTCCCATTATCAGCTTCTGTTAAGAGAGATTTTATTACTTGGTAATTAATAAACAGCAAAATCTGCACTAATGTTCAAAAGTCTCTTCGGGTACTACAGCAAACTGGATTTGCCCCCCTACACAGCTTGAGTTGTTAACTCCATTTCTCAGCAAGTACAAAGAATGAGAGAAGCAGGGACCTCATACACAGGGTTGAATCAGCTCATTTAAAAAATATGCATTGTGAAGGATAGTCTTACTGGTATTACAGAAAGAAAACGGGTTCTTTCAATTTGTAGTGTCTGGAGTAGCTAAATAATTTGTCAAATAATAGCAGAGGTTGAACTAAAATAGCATTTTAAAATCGTGCGATGGTCTGCTAGAGAGGTTCTCAACTTCAAGCCATGCAGCTGTGTCATCCAGTCCGCAGGGCTCCCTCTGGGTCCAGAAACGTGGCGGTGGGCAAGCAGTAACAGTGTTATTTGCAGCTCCTCTGCTGACAAAAATCTGGACCTGTGAGAGCCCCATGAGATAGATACTGTGGTCCTACACATGCATCCATGGGGCTGGAAAGTTGGGCACTACTGGTCTAATGTCATTCAAGTGCAGATCTGACACTGAGAGAACATTATGTACTTATCTGAACTTAATTTAAACAACCAACGCTTGGTATATTCACGATATTGTCAATAGTGTGGCGTCAGCACCAGTGACACTAGCTAGTTTCCCTTGCTTTTAAACTTTTAGCAGCCCCAGAATGACTACTTCGAACTTTGAAAACGTGCAGAGCTACTCAGTTTCCGGTCTGCAAGTACTCCAGTATTGATCACTTGCTAAGTAGAGACCCCCGTAGTCTTAACAGTCCAGAGTTTACTACAATGTCAACAACAGGGCCCAAATGGGGACTGGCATTATTATGCATTTAGAGAAGTTCACTCTTATCTGGCATGCGTAACTGGAGTACACCGTAATATGCTGTTACAAACACTTCTTGGCTTCAAAACTCTTTACATAGGTGTTGAAGGCCTAGGTATTATAGGAGATTAAAAAATAAATTACAAATACAGTATAAAGGCTAATATTTAGCTTTAAAATTGTAATAGGATATGTACATAAGGCACAGAATAAAAAGGCAAGACAATGTCTCTTAAGCCTCCAGTATGTAAACCCAAATAGATACGATCTCTGCAAAATTGCTATCTATAAAATCGTATTACATGCTCAAAAAGTTACTCAATCTTGCCTTATCCTAGTCCCAGCCTCAGCCCACAGACAAGAACGCAGCCTTCTTCCTCTTATTCCTGCAACAATTTAAAATGGATGTTCATTATGTTTGCATCTAATAAATTCACTCATGGTAAAACTGTAAAGCCAGTATGAAGCAACGTGCATTTTGCAGCTCCCTGTAAATCCCCCGGCCCTGAAGAATTCTGAAATCCGGGGACAACTGATTCCCCCCACCTGCTCTTGCAGTAGTATCTAGTATCATTGACTGTGGAGATTTGCTTTGAACTGTAACCTAACCCAACCCAAAAATTAAGGTCTTCCAAAATTTAATTTGCTGTTTATATTTTAGACTTTAAAGCTATAGCAGGGTAAATAAAATCACTTGTATATATAAAAAAAAAAATCATCAGACATTTTAATTGAAATTACATTTTTTACTTAAATTATAATGATTTTTTCCTTTTTAAAAAATACACCAGCTTAAAATGAAATTTGAATTTAATATAGCATAAGCTAAACTTTAGATTGAATATAGCCTATTCAAATAATTTAAATAACATAACATTTTATTTAATTTGACAGATGGATCAACGTACACAACCATCCAGGAATGTGTGCTTTTGTGACAACAGAAGGCGGGAATTTTTTTCTCTCTCAGAAAAAAAGGTACATCAGGAAATGCCCATACTGCAGAATATTTAAAAGTAGAAGCAGTAAATGCTATAAAAAACAAGTGTCATGTGCGTAGCCCTGGCACAGATAATGCTGCAAAGATGAGAAGAAACTTAGAAGAAAGCAATGAAGTAAACCTGAAACTTGTAACATATGGGCGCAGCGCTCACGTGATGCATCTTTTAGCCAAAGATTTAAGTACTCCAAGAATAAAGGAAAACGTTGTTGAAATTGTACATGACTTCTGTAACGTTTAATTCAGTTTAACTGAAGAGAGCCGAGGGTGCCGAGCCAATTCTCCCCCAAGGTATATGCCAGAATTCAGTGGCTGACTGCTCTGAGCTAGTTATTAAGAACTGACCTATGCTGATCAAAAGAAAATCGTGACAAAATTGATGGACTTATCACAGCTAGAATAGTCAACACCGGACTAAATAAAAAGTGTAGAAGATACGCTAAATGCACCAAAACCTATTTCCACAGCTTGGATAAACTACAGAAAGATTGCAACTATGTGAATGCTGTCGTAATTTGGAAAGAACTTCACGAAATATTAAAGCAAGAAATGTCCAAGAGTAAAGTTCAATGCAGGCAGTAAAGGATGGATCAAGCACTAACTCCACCTCATTTGCTCACTAATATTATTAGCACAAAATACCAAGGTAAATGCCTAGCTGCTATATAGATGTGTGTTTGTGTGTGTGTATATAGTGGTGTTTCATTTTAATCGTGGAAAAATGCATATGTTGGGTTTTTAATAAGAAAATTGGGGGGGGGATTAATTTAAATCAGAGAATTTGTGATTTTTAAACAAAGAAAAACAGGATCTGGTGCTATATAAAAAGGAAGATGCTGTTCTGACACGACACCTACTAACCCCCATCGATCATGCCAACCATGATAGACTTCAGGGCGTGAGGTGAACCATTACAGCAGTACATGGTCTGATGAGGAGGTTTTAAAGGAAGTCACGCTGCTGAACTGGCTGAAGTCCCTAGCAAAGCACCTGGAACCAGAGTGTGTTGAACTGCGGCACCAGCTTTTACAGCAGTAGCCTTTTCGGCACATGAAGAAAGAATATTTGCTTCGTTTGGGCGGGTTCGTTCAAAGTGGAGAAATCACCTGGGAGTTGACCAAGCAGGAGAGCTTGTTCTTCTCTTCCAGTCTAGGAATAAAAAGGGGGGAGAACACTTTTAAAACAGCCTAGGTAGAAAAAAAGACCACTTAATTTTAAAGGGAAATAGCTAGACATAATTAGTTAAGCTAAACTGACTTTCACCTAGACATTTTTCCCAGGGTTACCCGAAATAATTGGCTTAATTAATTCACTGACCACAGTTCATACTTCTAACGTTATAACAGTTAATATTAGTGTTTAATAAATGAGCTAGCTGTATAATGGGCACCATACTTAGATAGAAAAAGGTTTCTGTATCCAAACCATTCAAGTTTTGTTTAATAAATTTAAAGTGGTTTTGCATATTTAATCAAATACAAGTTACCATCTCAATAAAGATTGCTACAAACACAAGCAAAAAGAAAATTATCTAGTGAATAAGAAATATATATTTCACCATTTTATAGCATACTAGAAAGTGGGATTTCTAACCATCCAAATATTTTAAGCTATATATTTTTTAAATACATAAATATCTCTGGTTTGTGTACCTAGGCAACACATGTACGCAATCTATTGGAAAAACTTATTTAGTTGTAAATCAATATGTTTTAATTGTTATATCGAGGAACGAAAAAATACACCTTTCTTTAAAACAAAAAAAACGTGGAAAGCTGATAAAAATCAATGAATGAAATCAGTCTTTTGGCTTGCTAGCGTAAATCATAATTGAATCACTCCATCCTGCCAGTTTCTTCTGCACTAGACTCGGTTCCCACACTCATCAATACACTCGTAGGTAGATGCGACTTTCAAAGCAGCTACGCCCCTTCTCCTGCGTGCCTCCCTCTTCTTCTGGACAGCCGATTTTAGAAACAATTCTTACTCGGTGAAGTGTAATGATCTCAAAGGCTGCATCCCTTCTAATTATAAAATGACTGGATTTTAAAAGTGCATTAGTATTGATGAAAGTATTTACCTGCCTAAAACTAAAGCTTTGCCTACTCGTCTTTGAAGTACTTAATACCTCAGTCCTCACCTTTCTTTCCTTCCACACTTCACGTTACGACCTCGCTTCTTGTCCGACTGCTCCCTTGATCTTTTTTCCATTCCCAGTTTGTTGCAAATGAAGGGGATGGCAGTGAAGAGCCTCACAGTTAATGCAGTTCAAATGTTGTTAGGCCCTGGGACATGTACAGCTACAGCAGTCATAATGTAAGCTTTGACACTGTGCCTAAACACCATGGATCCTGGTTTTCTCTGTTTAAAAATCACAAATTCTCTGATTTAAATGAAAAAGCCCAAATTTTATTAAAAACCCAAAATATGCATTTTTCTACGATTAAAATGAAACACTATATACGCACACACAAACACACATCTATATACCTATACATGTTTATATATCTATATCTTTAGAGATAGAGAGGTATCAGTTTAACACAATATTTTATTGATATGTTTACAGTTTTAAAGCAATTGTAGCTTTCAGCCTACCAGTGCCTCAATCGTCATCATAAAATAAATTCTAAATACCTATATATTTTGGTGTTTGATTTTGTTTTTTAATATTGTGGAAAATCAGAGCTCCCCGTGCCCGCTTTGCTCACCAGACACGGGTCCAACCTCCGCACCGCGTTGTGGC